TGCTGTGACACCGTAATTAGCTATGAATCAACAAAACAACAACAAAATGCACAACCCTAATTTCTGAATCTGAAGATTTCTGTCAATGCTTACAATGTTGTCCAAGAATGCTACTTACTCTCCATAAGCCTGGAGTTGGCAAACATTTTGATAATTATCATGAGCAAAGAAATTACACTATATGTTTCCTGAAGTACCAAAGATATATTATTAACCTTTAATTTTGTAAAATCATCTCACTTCCAAACAATGGGTCAAAAGATAACAGGGAGAAATGTCTGTTCTATTTTCTTTATAAATTTATTAATCCTGTTTTATCCCTCAAAGTATTTATCCACTTCTCCATGATAACGTTCACATGCTTGCTGAAGTAATATAACCTTTTTTTTTTGAACTGTGTGAAATTGTGGCGTCACCAGTACTGCCTTGGCTAATTTTGAATTACTTTTGCCACAACAGCAAGTAAAATAATTTATACATTAAATTCAATGAAAAGGACCACCAAAGCTCTTTGTTGATTTTTTAACCACCCATCATTCGTAATGGTGGCAGTGGCAAAACTTTAATATACTGTTCAATAATAAAACAACACAACAATTGCTAATGTTTATTGCACTCTGTTTCAAGTCAATCTCATACAATATCTATGTTATAACACTTCCATTTATACCAAATTTATAGCTCTAATCAAGCCTGCCAGATACACAAGACAGAAACCAAAGGTTACAGGGAAATAATTCCACTCCAAAGTAAACCTCTCACTCTTTTCACTCCCTTTTCTGGAATGACCTGAAGATCCCAGTATTTTCCAAGAATGCTATCCCACATCAAACTTCACTACACACCCTGCTCCAAAATGTCCTAAAATCTCATTTCCTACTCCACCCCCAGCACATACACACTTTGAAAAACTACTAATGTTACTTTTAGGGCATTTTTGTGATTAGATTTTTAACGGTTTTAGTCATTGCCGTTAGGTATATTTTTTAACTTATGCCTCCCCGAGATTATGTTCTTGGAAGTAATATTAAAGACACTTGAAAAATAGGCAGCAAAATTTAACTCAAGTCACCTTTTTACATAGTTTTTGAAAATACTTACTTGAGAGGGTGAGATAATTAACAAAGCAAGATGCATTTTACATACAGACTTAACTTTAGAAAATATTTTTCCACCTTTTGTCAGAGCATACAGAAGTGTTTCAGGAATTTCATCCCAGTGAATGAATATTCCTGTTACTATGTTTTGAAACATTTCTATCATACCTTAAATAATTTACCCACTTTAAAAAAAATATTTTATTTTTTATTTTAGGAAGAAGGGAAGAGAGGGAGAAAGAGGGGCCGACAAACATTGATGTGAGAGAGAAACACCGATTAGCTGCCTTCGGTGTGCGCCCCAGCGTATAGAACATGCGACCCAGGCACGTGCCCTGGCCGGTAATCCAACCGGTGACCTTTTGGTTCTCGGGACCATGCCCAACCAAGCCACACCGGCCAGGGCAATTTACCCATTTAAAACAAAAACAAAAACATTTTTACTCCTCTATGAAGATAGTTTTAACAAAATGAATTTAAAAGAAAAACAATAAAAGTTTAACATTCATGAACACTACCAGCTTTTTTGTTAAAACACTAAAAAATGCAATATGTTCATCCCTCACTCTTTATCCTAAAATACTGACTTTCTGATTCTAGCATAATATAATTTTAGTAACTCATCAAGACAGAACACATAAAATTGGCATATTTTTGATATGCACACAAATTGAGACAGCATCTTTCCCAACTGTGCAGCAGAAAATGAAATGCATCTGGTGTGACAATATGGCCTGACACGTGAACAAGAATCAGTGGGATGAAAGGGGTTTCTTTCTTGTTTTTTTCAAAGCAGATTACTTTAAATAACGAACATTGCTCAATGTGCAAGACATTCTCAAGTGTGTTGCAGTGTGTTTCAAAGGTATATTTGGCTAAAGAAAACATAATCGCGAGAGGACTGGCAGGGCCTGCGAGGTAGTTCATTCAGTTTTTAATCACTGTTCAACAGCGACTTCCAAATCTCTTTCCCCAGCAACCCGATCTGATTTTTGGCTTTGTTTAACATCTCTACCAGTGTCAGAGCATGTGCACATATGTTGTTGGGACCTCAGGAGGGCCTGGGAGACGGAGAGGTGGGGAGTGTTTTGGAGAACATGGCTGATGCCAGAATCAAGCAGAGGACACAAGAAAAATTGAGCAATTTGCCTTGTTCTTTGCAACAAATTTTGTTTCTTCCTTCAAACAAAGTTCTTTTTTATCTAGGCAATCTGGAGATGAATTTAATGCTTTTATTGTATTTTCTTTCATGTGTTCCCATCTGTTCTTGCAAACTGTAAATAAAACTGAAATCTACATGTGCTACACACTCTATTCCCATGCCCAAGTATTTCTGCAGATGAGGTACTGGGAGAGCCAAGAAAGGTCTCTGAGGTATGCAGGGAGCTTGGAAGGGTGCTGCAGAGCTACGCTTATTCATGGACACCTCTGTAAGCTCTCCAATTCCACTTCTTCCTCTTCTCCATTCAGAGAGGCAAGCAAGGCTTCTTTGAGTTGGGCAGTGAAGTACTTAGAGAGGACTAAGGAATCCTCTCTTCTGCATTGGTAAGAAAGTGCGACAGAAACCTGGATTCGTGACTCATAACAGAGAAAAGTGTCTGATTCTCTGGGAACAGGACTCCATTAGCAGGAGATGTTGGGAACCAATGATGGTGCCTCTCTCTGAGACTGTGTCTAGCACAGGACAAGCCCCTCGGGGCTCACTGTTCTGCCTATACCCCATCTTTCACTTATTCTTGGATATTTTAGGTTTTTTATTCCTTCTGTGTCTTCACTGAAATGGTTGTTCTTTATAATTAAAAGCTTCTTTAGAACTATAGATGGTAAATTATGTCATTTGTAAATGTGGTATAATAGATATGCAACAATCTATCACAGAGAACAAAGAACAAATTAATATAGCTAATCCATCATAGAACTGATTCGAGGGATGCAGCAGAAAGTCCAGAATGCATGTAAACTTGCAAGTATTAATCAACAGGACTGACTGAAGTCATCTCAGAAACATAGTAAGTTCTAAAAGTTGTCATGGAAAAGGATTCTGGAGAATGACTTGACTATAAAACCTCTGTCATTTATTAACCATGTGTCCCTAGAATGGTTATTTTAATTTTTTGAGCACTGGTTTCCTAATCCATAAAGTGGCAATAAGAACTGTCACTGTAGGATTGCTCTGAGGATGAAATCATGTAAGGCTATAAAGCGCCCAGCATATGGCGAAGGCATGCACAATAATGTTTAGTGTCTTCTCCAAAATTGGTTTAGGTCTTCTGAATACAAAATTCATATTTACACAGCAATAGTTTTAAAATAAAAACTGATGGTGTCTGAAAACTTTTTGGTAAATATAAACATAAAGATCAATTCAGAATTCTCTGCTTTTGTTTTGTAAATATCTTGCTTCAATGAAATGCAAAGTAATTTAGTAAGTTAACATTTGCAGTAATATATCTACCACCCAAAATAATTTAATTATTATCTGTTTTATTATTCTTGATTGCAAAAGTTCATAAAAACAAATGTAAACAGTACCCCACTCTAAAATTCTTATAATAGGATTATGTCCACACTCAAAAATAAATATATTTTACATACATAGTATTCATTTATACTGAATTTAAAACATCCTTTTAAAATGACTTTTTACACTTTTTTTGGAACCAGAAACAATCTATTAAATTCTCTTGCAAAATGAAGAGAAAGGTGGGTTTATTTAGCCTTTTTTTTCAATATCCCTACCTACTCTTCTGAGAATAACTAAAGCTGTTTTCTAGAACATCAGGTGTTTCCTTGAACATCAGTAACATCAGGTTGCTGCAATCAATTGTGTTTATTAAACAATGAAAGACTCATATTCTGCTTTATTTTCTGAAACTATACTAATAAACTATAAAAATTTTCAACTGAAAGAACAGCTATTCTCAAAATTTATCCTTCAAAACATGGCTTTATATTTATTGTAGTTTAACTTTAATCTAATTAAAGTTTGAATGTCTGTCATTAATCTAAAAATAATTCCGAGTCAAAAAAAATGAGTTTAAATAATCTAAGATATGTTGAAAGAAATGAGTTCTCTGGGTTCCTGGCAGAATGGAACTTTCAAAATATTTGCTAACATTACCACGATTTGATAAACATTTACAAAAGGAGAGCCTCCCCTCTACAAAACCCAGGTAGTAAAAGCAGCCGCTCAGTGAACACCTTAGGGACCCCACATGTACATTTTCACTTGATTCTTGTTTGACCAAACTTGCGTGATCACAGAGGCAACAGGACACTGAAAGCAGTATACTTGAAACGCAACCGCTTCGGATGACTATTAAATCTGAGAAAAGGCCACAGGGACACGTTTGACTAACTCAGAAGAGACGTTCAGGCCACCCACTTGTTGGGCGGCGACCCCCTTGCTGCTGAAGTTTTAAGGAGGGCGTGCGGGTAAATCAGCAGACTTCTGCTTTAAGGCTTTCCCCAAGAATTACCTCTCTGCATTTCTATTCCTTCCATTGTTCCAAATGCTAGCCCCTCCACGCCACCATCAACCAGGGCTGTAATCTTTTTAAAGTTGTTGGGTTTGTTTTTCTTTGGATAGGTTGAGATATAATGGAGAATCCTTCTGGGAGATCTCCAAAAACTACCGTAAATTATGTCCAACTTCATTCCTCTCCTATTTGGCTACCATTAATACTTTCACTTTCATTCGCAACTCCTAAAGCTATTTCTGTCAAAAGTCAAGGCAAGGTACAAGTCTTGTCTTTACTAAGCAGGAGCGGGATGTTTTCTTTCCACTGTTTGATTTACTTGGTAGCATCCGCACTCTGTCCCCGCCCGCGCCCCCCGCCCGCCCACCCACCCGGTCTCGGTCGCCCAAAGCTGGAGGCGTGGCCCTGGGCACCAGCAACTCACCTGGCTGAGGCCGCGCTCCCCGCCCTTCTCCGGGATACGCTCCGCGGGGCCCCGCGCCGGTTCTGCAAGAGGCGGAGGCGGCTCCAGAAGCTGCTCCAGGTTGGTGGTGCCCGGCAGGGAAGAACTCTTCTGATGGCACAAGTGCACCGCGGTGCTCCGATGCTGTGCGCCCTCATCTCGGGCACGATCCCCTCTCGGGGGTGGCTGGGGAGAGGAGGATAGGGAAGATGATGCGGAGGACGAAGAAGGAGCTGAGTCTGGGGAGCGTCCGCCAGGAGGCGTCCCTCCGCCTGCTCCAGCAGCCGCAGCGGGCCCCTTTCCCGCGGGGAGCAAATGCTCGCGGATCCGGCGGCGCAGCGTGGACCCCTGCTCTGCTTTGCCTGGACCTCCAGGCTCGAGAGCCTCTGTCGAGGAGCAGCACAGGTTGGGCTGAGAGGAGGAGAAGACGCGGTCCAACACTTGTTTCCGTTTCTTGAAGCCAATCCACCTACTGCCCGTGCCCCCGACGCCGGCCAGTGCGTCCCGCCTGCCTCCTGGGGGTGGCGGGGAAGGCGACGGGGTGGCCGCAGGGCGTCGCTCCTGGTCTCCTGCGCGCCCGCTGCTGCCGCCACCCTTACTCTTGCCAACCCCCAGCTGCAAGTTCTTCCAGAGCCGGGCCTGGAAAGAGGAGGACGCCGCCGGCTCCGGCGAGCCAGCCGCGGCTGCCCGGGACTCCATCCTCCACCCCCTGCTCCTCCTCTTCTCTCCTCCACCTCTTCCTCCTCCCCCACCGCCCTCCCCGGCTGCGCCCCCTCCCGGAGCCCCGCGGCGGCGGCGGCGGCGGGGGGCGCAGCAGCAGAAGCAGGGAGTGCCCGGCGGCTTCAGGCCAGCCCTGGGGACAGACGCTCCAGCCGCGGTTCTCCGGCCGCGGGATGCCGGCGCCGCCTCTTCCCGCACCTGCCGGGGTGGGCTGGCGCTGGGGCTGAATCCCTGCAGCCGAGCCTGCAAAGTTTCTAGCTTCGACCTCCACGGCTCCAGTCCACTGGAGTCCCCCAGGCCGCGACCTGCCTCCCTCTCTCCGCTCGTTCCGAGCTCAGAAGCTACGTGCACCCGGGCGTGCGCGTCCAGTGGCACCAGGGACCGCACACAGCACCCTACGGGCAGCACCTGTCAGCGGCTGGGAAGGCTGCCTTCAAACTGGACGCACTCGCGACTCACACAACTGGGAAGGTCGAGCTGAAGACACCCCGGACCAGCAGCCCCGCAGGAGCGCCCCTGGACCATCCTCCAGCTCCTAGGTGGGAGGACAGGCGGACGAGATCTGGGTGGAGCTGGGTAGGGATCGAAGCCAGCTTGCTTCCTAGAATCCGGCCACGGTTCCCCAGGCAGCTCGCTCTGGGCCGCCACTAGACACGCCCGCCAGCGTTCGTCTGGGTCTGATGAAGTGAGCTGGAGTGGAGATCATGCGCCTTCGGTGGTGGGTCCTGTGGGACGCCGAACGTCCTCCCAGAAAATGAACCAGATTCAGTCCTGGGCCGAACACCGCTGCCCCCGCCCTGCTGCGCGCCCTGGGTCCAAAAGGAGAGATCTGTATTGATTTCATCTCATTCCACCCCTCCCCGCTCTTTATTTGTATATACACTGGTAGTTTCTCTTACAATAGGGGTCTAGAGATTTCCGAAGTCTGACTATAAGGCCAACCCTAAAGTTGTGGGAGTTTACAGTGGACGAGGATGTAAAGGATGCTCATTGCCTCTGACCCCCTTCCACACGCAGAGAATCTTGCTCTTTTCATTCAATTGCATTTTCCTGTGGTTACTTCATTTGCTTTATTGACAAGGCAAATGGAAAAAGCTTTTTAGTTCATTCAGACTTTGCTTCTCCCCAGATCTACTCACCCCAGGGTCTCCCAGTTCCAAGAGAGCCTCTTCCCTCCTCCACTGCCCTCCGCACCCCTGAATGTGGAAAACATGGAGGTCCCTGAGCTTTTTCGCACTACACCGATTCCAATGTCATTTAGCTAGCAGTATACCCTCGAGGTGTAACCAACTCTCCAAGCTTTTATTTATTTTTTCTATTTTTCTTACCTTTGAGTAACAAATACTTCAATATTTATTGAGCACCTACTATGCAGGCACTATGATAGGTTATGAGGATGAAGCTGCGAAGACGGGAAAGCGGGCCCTACCCACACGGAGCTCCTCTTCCAGTGGGAGTGAGTCAGGGAATAAAGGCAGTTTCTGATAGTGAAAAGCCGCGCGGAGACGATGAAACAGGCTACCGGAACAGTGTCGATGGAGGTAGGGTTGCCAGATCAATTGCAGGACACCCAATTAAATTTGAATTTCAAATAAGCAATGAATAGTTTGTTAGTATATATATGTCCCAAATATCTCATGAGACATACTAAAATGCTATTTGTTGTCTGCCTAAAATTCAAATTTAACTTAATGGTTTGTATTTTTATTTGCTAAACCTGGCAACCCAAAAGGAAGAGTTTGAAGGGTTTTGATTTGTTTGTGTGCTTGCTTGTTTTTTACATTGTGTATACAAAGTGTCCCTGAGGACTTAGCTCAGTGCCTGAGGCTTTTCCAGCCACCAAAAATTACCTGAATATAGAGCTACTCTGATAGCCCAAAAGGAAACTGCAATACCCAAAAGTGCTCTTCTCTATAACATATTTTGGAAAATAACATAACTAGGAAAAATATTTTGTTACTAGTTTTTCTAGGACATGGTAAACAAAGTATGGAGAAGATAAGTAAAGAAATGTAGGATTACTGTAGAGAATTTAGAAGAAATGATCACTGTTTCTCCCAGAACTCTTTATAAACTTTTAAGTTTGTAATAGTTATATGATATGGACCCATGGATCCGTAGAGATAACTCTACACAATTCAACCTTATATTCATATAGTCTCATAGTGATGTACTTGGTTGACTTTTTTGTACCTTAATATTTTCATTTTTCTCTTTACCTAATTTTGTCTTGAAAGTACTATCTCTTAGATACTATCCCTGAGATTTCAGGTTCTGAAATCTATGATCCCAAATCACAATTATCTATCCATGTGAATTCATATACACAACTTGAAAGAGTATGTATAACTTTTCCTGAATATCTGAAGTGGATTATAAAATGTGAGGTTGTCCTACAAATTGTGCATTACATAAAGCTGTATTAGGTATGGTCTCTGTCATGAAATGTCTTGGTACATTTAAGAGAAGGTACTTTTTTTAAAGATTTTATTCATTTACTTTTAGAGAGAGGGGAAGGGAGAAAGAGTGAGAAACATCGATGTGTGCCAGGGGCCTGACCAGGAACCCACGCATGTGCCTAACCAGGAATCAAACTGGTGACCTTTTGGTTTGCAGGATGACGCCCAACCCACTGAGCCACACCAGTCAGAGGAAGAGAAGATACTTATTTAAAGCTCTACAACACAAGGGGAAAGTGAATGGTACAAATTGATTACTGAGGGAATACAGAGGAGTGAAGAAACACTTCTGGCTTGACTAATAAAAGGTTTCTTGTTGGAGGCATCAACGGAGCTAAGGTCCATTGCAGGTGACAGAGTACACTTAGAAGATAGGTGGCCACCTGCAAAAGAAAGTAAATTCATGACACATAGCAAGAGTTCAATAAGTGTTACCTATTCTTTTGATTACAATTTACTATCCATCTTAAACATTGACAGAACAGCCCTGGCCAGGTGGCTCTGTTGGTTGGAGAATCCTCCATGCGGTTGCAGGTTTGCAGGTTTGCAGGTTGCAGGTTTGATTTCTGGCCAGGGCACATACCTGGGTCGTAGGTTTGATCCCTGGTCAGGGCTCATGTGGGAGGCAGCTGATAAATGTCTCTCACATCAATGTTTCTCTCTCTCTCCCTTCTTCTTTCTCTCTCTCTCCCTCCCTCCCTCCCTACCTCTGTTCTTCTCTCTCAAATCAGTTTTAAGAAATGCCCACTATGGACTAAGTGTCTGTGTCTCTCCCCCCCAACACCAAGTAAAAAATATATATATTGACAGAACATCTATTGATTGAATTAATATGAAATTAATATGAAATTAATATCACAGATTAAAATAATAGGAGGTTGGGAAGGTGATGGGTAATGTAATATCCAAGCAGAAGCCCAAAGGAAATGAAAGAGGGGACAAAGTAGTAAATCTGAAGGAACATTTTTTCAAGAAGAAAGAACATTAAATGCAGATAGGCTGAGGCAGGAACTTGCTCAGCTTGTGGAACTGCAAAGACAAATATCTGGAACAGAGAAAGAGGGCATGGGAGGCGAAGATATGGCAGAGAGAGCTAAGGGCCAGATCACTTAGGACTTTGTGGGCCACAGTGAGGACCTGGGACTTGAGTGGGATGGGAAGCCACTGGAGGGCTTTGAGTAGAATTTCTTTATAAGTCAACTTGCATTTTTAGAGATTCTCTCTCGCCTCCATGTTGACAATAAAGTGGGAGAAAGGAAAAGGTGGGAATGTAGTTTCAATAGGAGTTATCACTACACGTGAGGTACAGTGCTGGCTTTGACTGAAGTGGTGGAAATGGTTGAATTCTAGATACAGAGTATTTTGAAGACAGAACTGACAGGACTAGCCGTGGTTAGGACATGGGGTACTCAAGCATGATGCTAAATGCTCTGCATCTTTAAACATATGCTATTCTCAGGGCAACCTCTTTTTGTAGGTCTTGCAAGATCACTCCTTGAGTAATCAGCAGATCCCAGGTCTACAAGATTCCAAAGTCATGCAGCTCCTTAATTTTAAAATTCATGAGTAAATAGAATAAAATAATTGAGAGTCCTCAGAAGATGCACTGACCCATGTCCTTGCCTTGGGTGAGCAAAAAGACTGTATTGGACAGAACCACCACTTCCACTTGATGAGATCAAGGCTATGAATGCAAGCACAATCAATCAATCAATCAATCAATCCCAACCAGGATTTCTGGGACTATTTGAGTTGAAGTCCTAACTAAATGGCACTGAAGGAGCCCACTTGTCAGTGGAGCCCTGGCTGTCGCCTCAGCTCCCAGTACTGAGCCAGGTATCTTCAGGCACTCATTTCCTCTCAGTCTCTGAAATGGGGATGATAACATCAATTGCCCTGACCCACTTCACAAGTACCCAGTTAAAAGTCAAAAGCAGGCAGCATTCTTGATGATGAATTAAGCTTGTCCTCAAGTAAGACATTATCATCACTTTGTTATCAAAAACAAGAAAATACTACCAGACTGACTTGTACCACCTCGCATGGAAAAACCCTGCCTGCGAGGAGAGAATTTTGAGTCTTGCGAAACCAAGAACCCAGTCATCACTTCCACGTGTTGAGATGGCTGCTGATATACTGTCAACTCATCAAAATAAATTCCTCTTCAGGTATAAACTAGTTTTTGCCTTTTTCTTCCTTGAAAGTTTTCTCATCAGTTCTCAAATGCCATTTAATGTCTAAGGATTTCAGAGGAGTTATTTCTGTTTAGTTTTCTTAACCTAAGCCACTTCCTATTTTCTTCTTAACCAGACTGGAACACAAGTCAGGAATTCTAGACCAACAGATAACGCTGGAATTTCTATGTCAAAAGGGCATAGGAGTGTCCACGTAGCTTAAATTGTAGCAAAGTGGGACTTGAAGCTGTATTTACGCTAAAATTTTTAAAAGTCAATCGTCCATGTAAAAGAAGAATAGAAGCTATTACTTGGAGATTTGGAGGGAGCAGAAACCTCCCTTGCC